TGCAGGTCTGCCTGTCCGTTGGGGATGGAGGTCGACATATATAGGAGTCTTCTTAACAACAAGTAGTAATGCTATTCCTTTACCCTACTTGGTCATAGCACGGTAGTGGGAGCTGTCAGCTTCACATGTTTTAACGCTGTCAGAGCACTTTGAAAAAGTGGTTTGTGGTATCTGGAAAGCTGATGTTGCGTGTGAAGATTACAGATAGCTTTATCCAAGGAGATCCGGCTCTTGAAGTTAGGAAAGTGTTGCCTCTTCGGTTTTCGAACAAGCAATCCTATCGGGGATCTGGCTCTCGAGATTCGGAGAACGATGCCTCTTCAATTTTTGAGAAAGCAATCATGCTGGGGGTCTGGCTCTCGAGATTCGGAGAGCGGTGTCTCTTTGATTTTTGAGAAAGTAATCATGTTGGGAGTCTGGCTCTCGAGATTCGGAGGGCGGTGCCTCTTCGATTTTGGAGCAAGCAATCTTGTTGGGAGTGTTTTCTCGAATGTGAGTAAAGGTTGGGCATGTTTGCTAGTCTACCTTGCCACGAAGCACAGAGGTTGACACACAGGGACTTTCCAATTATCCAGCAATGGTACCGTTCCTTTACCCTCTTCGATTTTTGAGAAAGTAGTCATGTTGGGAGTCTGGCTCTTGAGATTCGGAGGACGGTGCCTCTTCGATTTTGGAGCAAGCAATCTTGTTGGGAGTGTTTTCTCGAATGTGATTAAAGGTTGGGCATGTTTGCTAGTCTACCTTGCCATGAAGCACAGAGGTTGACACACAGGGACTTTCCAATTATCCAGCAGTGGTACTGTTCCTTTACCCTTGTTGTTTCTTTGCTATTCTTTTACCCTTCTTGGTCAGAGCGATGTAGTGGGAGCTGCAAGCTTCACGTGTTCAACTTTGGCAGGGAGCTTTGGCAAAGTTATCTGTGGTACCCATGAGCTACTGTTGCGTATGGGAAGTGGGTGATTGAACAGTAAAACTCATGTGCTTTCTACTTCACCAGAAGTCTTCGACCGAATGCCCATAATTTCCGCAAAGCTGAGTGTGCGTGTGACAGGTGCTGACAAGGTTGGAAAAGTAGGTGCCTCTTCGATTTCTGAGATCGGCCCTCGTGGTCTCTGAGCAGCCCAGCTTTTGAGAAAGCAAACGCCTCTTCGATTTCTGAGATCGGCATTCGTGGTCTTTGCGCAGCCCAGCTTTTGAGAAAGCAAACGCCTCTTCGATTTCTGAGATCGACCCTCGTGGTATCTGAGCAGCCTTGCTTTTGAGAAAGCAAACGCCTCTTCGATTTCTGAGCAGGCACCTCTTCGATTTCTAAAGCTCCGTCGAGTGCAGATTTTTATAGGGGCTGGCATTAAGTTCCAAAGCACACTTGAATCTCCACCAGTAGAAGCTCCATTCTTGCACTTCTAAGATCTTGATTTGTCCGACCTCTTCTCTCTTCAACACCTTTGAAAATGTCTGGCCCCTCCGACCGTCGTTTTGACTTGAACCTTGTTGAAGAGGCAGCCCCGCCTTCTCCAGACAACATATGGCGTCCATCCTTCGTCTCCCCTACTGGTCCTCTTACCGTTGGGGATTCCGTGATGAAGAATGATATGACCGTTGCGGTGGTGGCCAGGAACCTTCTCACTCCCAAAGATAACAGACTACTTTCCAAACGGTCTGATGAGTTAGCTGTTAAGGATTCTCTGGCTCTCAGTGTTCAGTGTGCAGGTTCTGTGTCTAATATGGCCCAACGCCTATTTGCTCGAACCCGCCAAGTTGAATCATTGGCGGCTGAAGTGATGAGTCTCAAACAGGAGGTTAGAGGGCTCAAGCATGAGAATAAACAGTTGCACCGGTTCGCACATGACTATGCTACAAACATGAAGAGGAAGCTTGACCAGATGAAGGAATCTGATGGTCAGGTTTTACTTGATCATCAGAGATTTTGTGGGTTTGTTCCAAAGGCATTTATTGCCTTCGTCTTCTGGGGCTGTACCGCGTAATGAAGCTCCAAATGATCAACCTCTGATGCCTCCTCCTTCTAGGGTTCTATCCAGTACTGAGGCTCCGAATGATCCCCCTCCGGTGCCTTCTCTTTCTGGGGCTCTACCGACTGCTGAGACTTCTCCTAAGCAACCTTTGTGAAGGCTCCCTCTTGTTTGTTTATTTTGACTTATGTATATGTACATATTTGTAGCTTATCGGGGATATCAATAAATAAGCTTTCCTTCATTTCAACGTATTGTGTTAAATACACCAAAGCCTTCTTCGCTAAGTTCTTTGAATTTTCTTTTGTTGAAGCTTTGTGAGTGGAGTATGTAGGTTGAGGTAGTGTTCCCTTAATTTCCTGAGTGAGGAAAACTTCTCGGTTGGAGACTTGGAAAATCCAAGTCACTGAGTGGGATCGGCTATATGGATCTTAGAACGCCATTGTGCTCGGTCCTGTGTCATGTCCTTCGTTAGATCCAAGTACTCTAAGTCTTTTCTTAGAGTCTCTTCCAAAGTTTTCCTAGGTCTTCCTCTACCCCTTCGGCCCTGAACCTCTGTCCCATAGTCGCATCTTCTAATCGGAGCGTCAGTAGGCCTTCTTTGCACATGTCCAAACCACCGTAACCGATTTTCTCTCATCTTTCCTTCAATTTCGGCTACTCCTACTTTACCCCGGATATCCTCATTCCTAATCTTATCCTTTCTCGTATGCCCACACATCCAACGAAGCATCCTCATCTCCGCTACACCCATTTTGTGTACGTGTTGATGCTTCACCGCCCAACATTCTGTGCCATACAGCATCGCCGGCCTTATTGCCGTCCTATAAAATTTTCCCTTGAGCTTCAGTGGCATACGGCGGTCACACAACACGCTGGATGCACTCTTCCACTTCATCCATCCAGCTTGTATTCTATGGTTGAGATCTCCATCTAATTCTCTGTTCTTTTGCAAGATAGATCCTAGGTAACGAAAACGGTCGCTCTTTGGTATTTCTTGATCTCCGATCCTCACCCCTAACTCGTTTTGACCTCCATTTGCACTGAACTTGCACTCCATATATTCTGTCTTTGATCGGCTTAGGTGAAGACCTTTAGATTCCAACTCTTCTCTCCAAAGGTTAAGCTTTGCATTTACCCCTTCCTGAGTTTCATCTATCAACACTATATCGTCTGCGAAAAGCATACACCAAGGAATATCATCTTGAATATGTCCTGTTAACTCATCCATTACCAACGCAAAAAGATAAGGACTTAAGGATGAGCCTTGATGTAATCCTACAGTTATGGGAAAGCTTTCAGTTTGTCCTTCATGAGTTCTTACGGCAGTCTTTGCTCCTTCATACATATCCTTTATAGCTTGGATATATGCTACTCGTACTCCTTTCTTCTCTAAAATCCTCCAAAGAATGTCTCTTGGGACCCTATCATACGCTTTCTCCAAATCTATAAAGATCATGTGTAAATCCTTTTTCCCATCTCTATATCTTTCCATCAATCTTCGTAAGAGATAGATTGCCTCCATGGTTGAGCGCCCTGGCATGAACCCGAATTGGTTGTCCGAAACCCGTGTCTCTTGCCTCAATCTATGCTCAATGACTCTCTCCCAGAGCTTCATTGTATGACTCATTAGCTTAATACTCCTATAGTTCATGCAATTTTGTACGTCGCCCTTATTCTTGTAGATAGGCACCAAAGTGCTCGTTCGCCACTCATTTGGCATCTTCTTCGTTTTCAAAATCCTATTGAAAAGGTCAGTGAGCCATGTTATACCTGTCTCTCCCAAAACTTTCCACACTTCGATTGGTATATCGTCTGGGCCTATTGCTTTTCTATGCTTCATCTTCTTCAAAGCTACAACCACTTCTTCCTTCCGGATTCGACGATAAAAAGAGTATCATACAATCCCAAAGGTCATAAAACTGGTTTGTAGTTAAGCTATGGATAATCATATGCATATTTTCCCCAACGAATTGGTAATGGATAATCAAACCCACCAATGGTGGTGTGGGATGGCAATCAACAAAACTTATGCTGTCAAAAGAGCAAATCTCGGTAGGAAAGCGACAAGGTGTGTACCTTGAACCTAGCTCACTTTGAGTCATGCCTCATTTGTTTTTTCATACTCTTATTTTATATCTTTAAAATTTCTCCCTTCATCATATTCTCAGTAAAATAAAGGGAAAAAAAAACAAAAAGTTTCTATTATCCCTCCTAAATTTAATCTACTGTGCCTCAAATTCTTACGATTGTGGAAATAGTTAGTAGATTGGATTGGAAAGTTTTCTAATTTCACTAGTTTATTAGGTAAAAACTATATTAAGTGTCTAAGGAACTAGGAAGGCCTCATCGAATATTGTTGTCGTATGCCTTAGTTTGCATTGAGACGACTCCATCTTTGTTGAGAGTATAAATCTCACATTAAAAAAAAAAAAAAAAAAACTAATGAAAAGAGCTTGAAAACTTTAAGTTTTAACGAAAATGGCAAACTAAAGGGTAAAGTGAATAGTACAAGGATTGACTTTTTAGTGTAAAAATGTGGTTTTTTCGTTAAACTGAACAGTACCAGGAGCTTTTCATTAAAGTTTCCTAAAAAAATAAGAGACACTACATGTTCTTATAAAGAGTTGGGTTACTCATCATATTGCCAATTGGTTTTATGGTGGAATCTCAATTTTCTTCGCTCTATTAGAGCAAGTTAGTTCACGTGTCAAAGCTCAATAGCTAGCTATACATGTTTCACGCCACCCAAATTAGAGTTGAGTATTACTCACTTGGACTTTTGTCTTCATGAATGAACGATTGATATTTAACTAATTGATATTTTTTTTTCTTCACTTGTTAAGCTTTAACTAAATGAGCGTGTGAACAGGTGAGCTTTTGTGAAAAGAAAATTTGCAGGCAAGAATTTCCAATTTGAAGTTTAGGGTAAAAATAATTCATGTAATAAAATTAGCAATTAAAATTTAAACCATATATATAATAAATTGATACCATATGGATTACAACAAGCCTACTAAAGAAAAGAGATGATCATAAACATGACTTGATTCCATTAATATTAGGGTTGTACGTATTTCAAAACAAAACTACATATATAGAATTTTATTGTATTAATATTATACAACCATATTAGAATAACACAACTCTCTGGTTTTTATTCCATTAAGTACACAGTTCAGACGATTAAAGAGATGCCTTCGTCTTTGCGCACGCACACACATATATATAGCCTCTCTTAATTTTTCTGTATAGGAATTTTGTCTGTGGCTTCTAGTATCATCTCAAACGCATTTTTCAAGCATGACTTGAACTTTTGAGGATCAATAAATCCCTTCTGAGTTCCAAGGGAAATCCTCAAGTCTCCTATGTAACTGACTATTGTTATGATAAGGTCCTGCAAACCATTGAAATCTCGAAACGTTTAATAAGACGCCTTTACTTATAGAGAGGAGCACACTGCTCTAGCCAAATTAATCTGTATTAATTACATATGCTCAAAATCGGACACATCAACGTACTATAAATATATTCTTAACGACGTACCTGAGGTATACCTAAAACCATAAAGTATACACCCTTGATTGGATGATCAGCCAAAGCTGTTTTCTGGGCAGGCCCTATCATATTTGATATCATGAGGCTCGACTTCTTCAGTCTGTTGTGCATGTATCTTGATGCTGCCTGCAACATCAATACAATTTCATTGAGGATTACTTTAATTATACTATATATATGGTTGATGTTGTTTGCAACATCGACCATAAATACAATATGTTTACACATATTATAACACGTGAATTAATAAAACCACATAACAACATGAGCGTCTCATCATACTGAAAGTGTAGTGAGAGATGATTACCCACCTCATGGCCTCTAAGCTTGCTCACAATTTCAAATAGCTTGTTATAGAAAAAAACAGAAAAAGAACTCCTCTTCCTCTTAATATGTTTTTGTGCTTCGAAGACGAAGTCCAGCGGGTTCAAGATTTCAGTTAACTTGGGCATGGAAACCGGCATGAAAGCGATTCGGTTCCCCCACGGCATCTCAGAACTGGGTCCGATCATCTGCTTCACCGGCTTGTAATCACCATGAGTGATCCTAGTATTGACCAACACCATCGCTCGGCAGCTTGCTGCGCTGCTTGATTTTTGGTTATTATTAATCAGCTCTTGCATGTACAGTCTAGTAGCAAAGAACACTATTCCACATATCACATCATTTATCGTCTGCCACAGCAAGAAAAGAAAAAATTTCGATCACACAAAATGATATATATGAACAAAAAAATATAGCTACCTAGTTAATTATAATCATATATAGTATCTTACCACGTTGAGCTTGTTCTTGATTAGTTTGATTTCATAAAGGGAGAATATCAAGCTTGATATATCCATTGGAAGAAACTTAACTCCAGAATTCCCAGATTTTATCGGTGTTTGATCATCTTCAACGAAAGCGTTCCAACCCAAATCCTTCACAGCATAAAAAGCTGAGGTCAAATTCTGAGACACCCACCTCAAAGCACTCTTATAATAATTGTCACGTCCCTTTCTCTCGGACCCTCGGCGCGACGGAAAAGTTAGAGGAAGAGAAGGATCGTCAGCTCTTTGCAGACAAGAAAGAAGAGCACTCATGAAGGAGTAGCCATCGCCAAGTGCATGGTGAAGCTTGAATATTAGGTTACCAGCGGCATTGGAAGTTGGATATTTGACTATGTGAACTTCCCACAGTGGTTTGTCTTCTGGGTAATTTTCCAGTACTACTTTTGATATGTAGTCACCGAGATAAAGGTCGTAAGACTCAGATGACAATACCCCAGAGGGAAAAATAGGGACGTGAACATGATCTGTGAGCTTCACCTCAACCTTCTTCCATTGTTTCTCTCCGTCGACGTCAACCTGCGGAGGATTTTTCAAATTTAATATTAAATTAGTTTCCTAATTATAATCATTACCATGATAGGAAAAAGTGTTTTCTAACATTCAAAAGCAATTATAACTATTTTTGGCGAAAAGAACTTCAAAGCATTTAAATTTTTAATAAAAGTTCACATTTCTAATAAAAGAATTTATATGTATGTTAGAAGTGTCTTTTAGATAAGCAGTTTCAAACAGACTTTTAATTCAATTTGAGTAATTATTTAGTGTAAGGACTCTAAGTCTTTATTTTGAGTTTCTACTGTACGTTTTGAGTTCGAAAAACTCCCCTTCCCTCTCCGTTAATAAGTATAAATTTAAAAGAAAAAAATTTGATATATAATTGAGATGTTTATGACTAAATTTCGACATCTCAAATAAAAGCATATGAACAAAATTGAGTGAGAGAGAGAGAGAGTACCATGATGGAGCAGAAGCGTGGGTTGATGTGGAGGAAGACATCCTGAAGGAATGACATGATCTTTGATTCATCGATTGGAACCTCAGATTCCAAAACACCAAGAACTGACATGGATAACACCGAGGTATTGAGGCATTGCCCAGTAGGACTCACCGGCTCATTGTAATAATCTCCATCATCAACCTTAATAAACTCCATCTTTTTTCTCTCTCTGTCTACGTTAACAACAAATTGTAGTGGTTTAGTTCATTTGGGGTTGCTGCATGCATCTTAATTTATAGGGTATCTCTTACGCACGAATGTGAGTAAAATGGTCATTTGATTCAATTAAGATATGAAAAACGACAAACTATCAAGCAAAGGGACCCATTTTGTTAGTCTAGTCGCTTTATACAGTCCTCTAAGAAATTAAGAACCCGATGTACGTAGTTGGTGGTCAATGTTTAAAATGTTTTAATTACTAATAATTTGCTATGCATTTTTATCGTTGTTCGCACATGTCGAGTATTAAACTGTCCAGCCGATGAGAAAGAATTGTATGGAACAGATACATGGTTACATGATGTTTCGTGCATTATAAGAACATGTGATTTTTTTTTTTTTTTTAGTAATACTAGGGAAACTAAATTTGTAGACAAAATTTGCAAACTAAATAATGTGTCACAAATAGAAATGAACACATTTATCAACGCTCAAGTAATAATCCAATCATCAACTTCCATGTCATTTAGTTTACAATATTTTGTCTACAAATTTAGTCTCTCTAGTATTACATTTTTTCACATTATTATACTGACCACACGAGGAGAAGGACTTGTATGGCACGGGTACACGTGGTGTATTGTACCAACAGTACAAGAACGTGTGTTTGTTTTTTACATATACTTTTATGTTATTAGCACGAGACGCCACCATAACAATGAACCAGTGCCATATGCAAGTCTTTTCTTAGGCGAGGCGACCCACTAACTAATTAATATATGGGACAACCTGTTTGGAATCCCCATGAATAGGATCAAACCTTATTCCATGGTATTTACATTGAGATTTTTGTTTCTTATTCTTAAACAAATCCTCGATAGGGCTTAGTTGGTTACCTTTTCGTTTGTTTCGAGAAATATTGCTCCATGATTCAAACTCAAATATAGTTCCGATGGTAAAACTTACGATCATTAATGTTTTTGGGCGAGCAAAATTTTCAAGAAAAAGAATCGGCTCCTTAAGGATTGAGGAAGCACTACTCCTCTGAAGACACCTTGTAGCGAATTCATAAAACTTTATGCTTATAATCGAAACCGTTTATATTATAAGTAACTATTTAAAGGTTATCCCTGCAAAAAATTAAAAAATATGTGATCATTTGGCAATCGAACTGTATAAAAACAAATGGTCTGTATCAGTAAAAGTATTATGAACTTTCTATCTATTCACTATTATGAATGACTAAATGACAATGGTTTTAATTGATTTTTTTACAGAACTAATCTTTACATAGTGACTTATAATATGAACGGTTTTGATAATAAACACGCACAAAGTTTTGCAAATTAGTCACAAACATTGGCGGAGCTATAATTTTACGTGAGAATATGCCTCACATAAATGTTAAAAAAATAAAATAAATAGTTATAAGAGAGTAGTAGTTGTGAGCTAAATAAATATTTTAGCACTACATGTTTGTTTTCATGTTGAATTAACCTTCCAATATCAAGTCGACATAGAGAGTAATTAATTAAAAATTAAAGAGGATTAAGAGAAATTAAACTCCAATATCAACTCAATGAAAAATGATAGGAAGACCAGGTTTATAGACTATATTTGGAGATTACATTATGCAGCGGTTAATAATTGGATTTCTTCTTTAAAGCATTAAAAAAAACTTATATGGAATAGAAACATCGTTACATGGGGTCTCGTGCAATATATTTGTTAGTTTTTTTTAACATTATACTAACCAAGCAAGGAGAAGGACTTATACGTCACAAGTACTCTTCCATGCGGTGTCCTGTACCAATAGAACAAGGACATGTGTTAGTTTTGTTTTCACATATTTTTATGTTATCGGCACGGAACGCCATGATAACAACAAACCAATGCCATATATCTACATGTCTCCTCTTACGCGAGGAGAGCCTCTAACTAATTATTATATGGGACAACCTATTTGCTCCATGATTCAAACTCGAATATAGTTCACGCAGTAAAACCTTACGATCATTAATGTTTTTAGGCAATCAAAACTATCAAGAAAATGACTTGGCTGCTAAAGGATTGAGGAAGAACTCATTCTCAGGACACTTTGTAGCCAATTCATAAAACTTCATGCTTGTAATCGAAATCATTTATAGTATAAATCACTAAGTAAATATTATCTTTCAAAAAAAGTGAAAAATATGAGATTTTTTGGTCATCAAACTATATAAAAATAAATGATCAATATCAACAAAGGTATTACGAACTGTCTATCTATTTACTATTGTTGAATGATTAAACGATATAAATTTTAATTCGTTTTTTACAGAACTGATTTTTACATAGCGACTATAATATGAACAATTCCGATAATAAATACGAAGTTCCACAAATCGATCACAAACAGTAGCGGAGTTAGAATTTTATGCAAGGATATGCCTCACATCAATGTTAAAAAAATAAAATAAATAGATAGCATTTACAAGAGAGTATAATACATGCTTGGAGTTGTGAGCTAATTAAATTTTGAGGTGCTAAATGTTTTTTATATGTTGAAATTAACCTTCCAATATCAAGTCAATATAGAGAGTAATTAATAAAAAATTAAAGAAGATTAAGAGAAATTGACTCTCCAATATCAAGTCAAAGAAAAAATGCTAGGGAGACCTTGGTTTTAGATCATATTTTGGAGACTACATGATGTGACGGTTGATGATTGGATTCCTTCTTTAATGATGTAAAGAAGTAATCCAACCACTAACTGTCACATTATGTGGTATCAAAACATGGTTCAAGTAGCATCACCCCAACACAATATAGAATGTATAGGAAATTTTCAAAGAAAAAAAATGAGACGAATGGATTGGAAAGTTGGAGAACAATATATATGAAATTTTTAAAAAGGCTTTTTAGCCAAAATGGCCCCTGAGATTTTCATAACACACATCACTTTGGTCTCTGAGATTGAAAATCATCAATAGAAATGGTCCCTGAGATTGTCCACCATCCATTATTTTGGTCATTCCGTTAAAAACTCCGTGAAGTGTCCTAGATGTCTTGGCTGGAAGTTTGGGCAATTTTCAAAGCTTCATAACTCAATTGTTTCTTAACCAAATTCGACCCATAATATATCAAAATGAAGATAGGAAAGTGTAGAACAAGATTATATATATTTGGAAGCTCAATGGTTACCGGAGATGCCGGAAAATAGCCTTAAAGGTGACTGGTCCGCTGGAAAACTGGAAAACTCTCCGGAAACTGGGTAAACTTTAAACGTTTATAACTTCTTCAATACTCAACGAACTCAAGTGATTCAAAAACGAAAATCATACTTCTTGACGAGCCAAAGAGAATGGTACCTTTCTTGATGCTGATTCGTCCTGGTTTGGCCGAAAAACGGCTCAAAAATGGCTAACTCGAGACCAAGACAGCCACTTTCGAGCCGTTTTCCTGCCAAACCACGACAATTTAGGCGTAAAAAAGGTACCATTCTTCTTGTCCCATCGAGAAGTATGATTTTTGTTTTTGAATCACTGGATTTCGTTGAATGTTGAAGTTATGAACGTTTAAAGTTTATCCAGTTTCGGGGCGAGTTTTCCAGTTTTCCCACAGACTAGTCACCTTTCAAGCTATTTTCCAGCCATATCCGACAACCATTGGGCTTCCAAATAGGTATAATCTTGTTTCTATGCTTTTCTATCTTCATTTTAATATATTATGGGTCGAATTTGGTTAAGAAACGATTGAGTTACAAAGCTTTGAAAATTGCCCAAACTTCTGGCCAAGAGGTTTGGGACACTTAACGGAGTTTTTAATGGAAGGACCAAAATAATGGATGGTGGACAATCTCAGGGACCATTTCTATTGATTTTCAATCTCAGGGACCAAAATGATGTGTTATGCAAATCTCAGGGTCCATTTTGGTTAAAAAAAACCTTTTTAAAATTAGTAGAAAGTTATAGAAAACGAAGAGATTTACAAACCTTAATTAATATTGTTGTGGGTTGGTTTGGAGGACAAAATATATGAAATTTTCGAGAAGAGGAAAAGCTCAAAGTGTATATTCTTTGGTTGGACAATGTGAAAGAATATTGTTTTCTATGAAACTAAACCAGAATTTAGATTTAGTTTTAAGAGTTACTAATTTGTTTCCTACTTTTGTGGGCAGGATCAAGAAACAAACCTTTTCGTTCATCAAAGAAAGAGTTATTAAACGACCTAGTGGATGGAAGGGAAAATTACTTAGGGGTGGTTTGAGAGTGAGGTGCTTAAAAAAAAGCACCTATGAAAAAAAGCTGTAAGGGTTTTAGGTGTTTGGTAAACTGAAAAAAAAAAGGGCTTATTTTGGAAGCTGCTGTGAGAATAAGCTGAAATCAAAGGAAAAAGCTGAAGCTGCTATTTGCAGCTTTGGAAAACTGGCTTTTTTTCAAAGCACACAGAGCTACAATGCTCCTTTAATGAAAAGACCCACTATCAGACTGTTTTTTTTTCCAACAGCACTTTTACAAAAAAGTTTACCAAACACTCTGCTGATTTTTTTCACAGCCACTTATTCTCACAGCACAGCCGCTTATTCTCATAGCAGTTTTTTTTTCAAAGCACAGCAATACCAAACCAGCCCTTAGTAGTGCGGGAAGAGAACTTCTCATCAAGGTGGTTGCTCAAAATCTTCCTGCTTTTGCAATGAACTGTTTCTTATTGCCGAATACTTTTTGCGATTACCCGGATACCCTAAAAATACACTGGTGGTCAAGGGAGAAATTATGTAAACCTAAGAGGAGGGGGAGGGGGGGGGGGTACGTGTTAAGAGATTTGTATGCTTTTAATTTGGCAATGTTGGTTAAACAAGGGTGGTGTTTAATCACCAACCAGATTCCTTGGGTGCTAAATTGTTTAAAGCTATACACAATCCCATGTCATCTTTTTGGGATGCAACCAACCCATTCTATAGCTCCTATTGTTGGACTAGTATTCTGAAGGCGCGTGAGGTGCTTTTGTTGGGGGAGGGGGGGGGGGTTCTAAGTGGACTGTGGACAATGGAGAGACGATA